CTGTCAGATGTATTGCTTTCCCAAACTGTTATTTCTTCTCCAGCAGAGGGTTTTATGCGTTTCCTGACATGAGCCTGTGAGACCTTACAGATGATGTTCCCAAGTCTTAATTATAGTTCTCCACACAAGTGTAATGGAGAGATTTATTTAGCACATGGGAAAAGCATGCCTGTCATTCAGATTCTTTAAGCCTGTGCTTAGTGCGCTCGATGTTCTCCTCCCTTTTTGTGTCAGCAGAATGACATGGCTGCTATTTCCATGGGAAAAAAAAAAAAAAAGAGGCACAAAACCAACCAAAACTTGAGCCAAACTGGCTCAGGATGGGGAATTGGAAACTGCATGTGACAAAGAATTCCCTGACTTCTACCAGTGTTCTCTGAAGTCGCCAGGAATTTGAGCATCTTTAAGTAATCGTTATGACTCAGTAAGAATCATCTGGCAGGAGGCTGGAGAGCCAGACCAAGGAAGTAGGACAGCCCACAGGGTATAGGCCAGACCAAATTCTCCTGCCCTCACCCTGCCTTGGTTTTTGAACTGGTGGTTCCCTTGACAGAAGGAAGGCTGCAAGTGCCCTGTGCTGCTGGGGTCTCAATGGGTGGAAGGGGACAGGCGGCTGAGCTAAATTCAGGCTGCTTGCTCAGTGATGTGTATCCATAGGATCCAGGCTCTCTTGTTCCCAGTGCTTCACAAACAATTCTCTGCCTGGAAACACAGCCCCAGCTGAGAGAGGGCCCAAGAAAGAGGCCTATAAATAAAATAATAGTTAAAAAACAGAACACCAAAGTAGCTTCAAGTCCTTGTCCATATGTGAGGGATTGAAATGTACTAGCAAACCCGACACTTGCAGGGCACTGACAGGATTCCTCAGCAGGAAGGGGACAAAGGTATCTGAGCCCCCTCAGCACTCCCAACCAGCCAGGACAGCTGCGCTTTGTCTGTAGGTTCAGCTGTAAATTTCTCACAAGCATCCTTGTGCAGAAGGGTTACTTCATTAGAGCCATTGTTAACGATCCCCTGCTTCTCTCTAGGGAAAGCACCGGTGTCACTTCTGATTTTTGAACATTCAACTCCACATAAGTTTACTTTCTCTCTTTTGCACCATCTTGGGGGGTGTGTGGAATCAGATCCTATTGTATCTGTATCAACAGCATCGCATGAACAATGCAGCCATGATATGAGCAAATGCTGGTTCCTCTTCAGACACTCCTGCTGATGAAGAACAATTGCAGCGTGGGATAGTGAAGAGCTGTTGAAACAATTGTACTTTCACGCTCTCTTTAAAGTATACTAAATTTAGAGTGTACAAACCTGATACCCTTTCTCTACATTCTTGCATTATTTGTGGCATTATGATTTTTACAGTCTCCTGATAACTGTCAGCATGAAATGAAGCTGGTCTGGTTTGGTTTTAAGATGTGAGGCAGCAGCGCTGCCTGTCTTTCCACAGCAACAAGGGAGTATTTCAGTTTTAAAACCCAGGGTTTGATAACTGTGCCTGCTCCATTCACAATGCACTCTGTTTTGGGCTTTTTACTGGAACTCAACATAGAAGCTAAGCTATTTATCACCATCCTCCTTTAAAATGAATGTTCCTGCTCTACACATGGTCTCATTTCTCCTTACAAAGTGTTGGTGTTGAGAAGACATTCCTCCCTCATGAAAACAAAGTGTTGGGTCCCCTACTTGCAAATACACACCTGTGTCTCTGAAGAAAAACCTGTGTATCAAGTAACACTGCATTTATATTGCAATATTTTAACCTGGTACCTGTTGTTGCTACAGCAGCATTCAATGTTTCAGTGGGCTGCCTTCGAAGCAAGTAGGTTACAACATGGGTTATGTGTGAGTACAAAAGTGTGGTCCGTGAGTGTGCGTGAGTGTTTTGTGGGTGAGTGTGTGAGTATTTGCACGTGAGTTTTCTTACCAGTGAGCGTATGTGAGTGTTTATAACTCACGTTGAGTCTTGTCTCTGGAAGCTCACGGTTATATATCAAACCAGTTAGAACACTGCTTTCTTTCCTCTCCTCCTATAGTACTTGTTATCCTTTGTCATTAAGAGTTTTGTTGTAATATCTAAATGTGAAAATGAATAAAGTCGTAAACTGGCAGCTGCTCTCTGGTTCCTGGAGCCGCTGCCGCTCCCCACACAGCACTGGGCGGCCATATAATAAGCACGTTTTAGGTTTATTATTTTTATTCCCCTTTGCATTTCCCCGCATCCTCTAGGAAACAGCTGGCCTTTGTGGCACTTCCATCCAGGATGAAAAGCGGTCTTTCCTCAGGATGAAGCGGATACGCTCTGGTTACTCTTGCTGCCAGGAGCCGTAGGCCCAGCGCCCAGCCCTTCGCCCCGCTGCCATCTCCCCCAGACCCGCGACTCCCTCTCAGCCCCGGGACCCCGCGGCCGCTCCTGCCCTCTTTCCCCGCCGGGAGGGACCAAGGCCAGCGGAGCCCCCCGGACAGCTCGGCACGGAGCCACCCCTCAGCGGGCGGAGGGAGGCCCGGCAGCGGCCCGCAGGTGGCGCCCTCAGCCCGGCAGCGGCCGCAGGCCCCGGGGCACAGCCCGGGCGAGAAGATGGCGGCGGTGTAAAACGTGACAGGGAAGCGAAGGGCGGGTGTGAGACACGGGGGGGAGCCGGGCTGCCGGTGTTCCACGGCCGGAGCGCAATGGAGATGGAATATAAATGGATTTGTGGATGTGTCTCCCACAAAATCACCAGGAGCTGGAGTGAAACCTGAGGCACGGCTCCCTCCTCACCCCTGTGGTGACTTGTGAGGACTTCAGTGCCATTCATCTGCCAAAATACAGTCCCCTGAGGAGTGGTCGCTGGCAGAGGCATGGCTGTCCTCTGCAGGGTGAGGAGACCTGGGGACATCCCCTCAGCTCCAGCTTCTCCATCACCATCAATCCCTTCATCCATCACAGGCTGAAGGCAGCCTAAAGGACCTTTGGACTCTTCCCCTGCCCATCCAGGGATATGTCTGTCTGGGAATGTGGAGATTGAAGCAGTTCTGTTCATGAAATCCTCCATTTTGGTGGTACCCTGCTCATCTCCTGCCTCCCAGCCTGTCCATCAGACAGGGATGTCCCTTCTTTAGGAAGGCTCATGGCTTGGTACATGGCACAGAGCAACCTCCTGGCTCCCACTGTGTGAGGAGGGATGGGGATGGGACCAAGCAGGCAGCCCTCACACGGGCAGTAAAGCATGGCAGACACCTCACCCAGGCAGAAACACAGCCCACAGGAAACAGGACAGGGCAAAATGAAACACAGCTTGTTCTTGTGGTTGGAAACGGGAACTGGGAAGTCGCTAGCTGGGTCCTTCAGCTTGTTTTGCCTCTAACGTGGCCAGCAAATGTCTTCTCAATGCTTTTCAAAAGTGCTTTGAGATCTTCCTCTGAAAGTCAACGCAGCAACAGCAAGGAACCCTTTAGGCTCCTAGGACTCCCTGGCCCCTTCTGAGGACATTTCAGCATTAAAATGATGCAGAACTCCATGCTGAAATATTAAACTGCTGTCTGCAGTGCAGGAACAACAGCTCCGAAACACAGCTCTGCACAGCTGCGGTCTCAGTGTGCTGGCCACAACTCTTGCCCCCCATCTGGGGTGAAAGTTTGGGTGAAATGTTGAGGGGCCATTAACAGCGTGTGGTTCCTCACCCAGCATTTACCGAGATCAGCAAAATTAAATGAAAAGGCCCAAACAAGTGGAAGCAGAACGTTCAGCTGCTGTTTCAGAAACATTTCCTAGACTGTGCTGATGTATCTATAGAGCTTTTCATAAACAGCTTCTCAGGGGGTCTTAGAGCCACATGCTACGTGTGTTTAGCAGAGCCCATAGGTCCATTCCGTGCCAAGATGTGGGTTTGCAAGCCTGCTGTTTTCCTCGGGAATGGCATAGGTCTCTACAAGGGCAGGACTAGACCCACCACTTGCATCTCAACAAAACAGGCAGCATTATTTGACACACGTATGCAACCAGTGCGTCACAAATGGGTAAAGTACAAAACCTCCCAAAAGAGAACAGTTTAATAAGATGCTTAGGTTAAACATCAGGCTTATCTGAGGGCCTTACTGAGCAGCCAGGGAAATCACCAAGGAGACCGTATCTCAAAAGAGCACAGCTATTTGTTCAGAAGTTTAGAAATTATCCTAGCTCACAGCCCTGCAGTACTTGTTTCCTTTGCCATTTACAATTTTCAGACACTTTGCCTTGCAAAATCCAAGGCGCCCATTACACTGTTAGATCTCCAAAGAGACCAAAATCCTTAGAACTATTAGTTAAAAAGTATAATTCACCAAGTCCTGTTTTACAGTATTTCACGGGATTAATGTTTATTAACAGCATTTGAGTGTTTGCAACATATCCCATTTGGTACATCAGAAGAAAGTAACTCTGTATTAGGTAGGAGTGACTGAATCCTGACACGGAGACTGTGCAGTTCCTGCCCCAGCGGCACTTCCGTCGTTAACTGGGCAGACTGGATGCACCCCACCTCATTTCCACACAGACGGCCCTTTCCCCCCCATTTCACACACCCTAGTAAACCAGCTCTCGTGTCTTTTTGACGGTCAGCACTTCTGACACATCGAAATGAAAGGCACTGAGGCCACGATGTCCTTGTCCCTACAGCCAGCCCCATGATGAGCCCGTCCCTCATGGGAGGATCTAAAGTTATCCCGACCCATTGCAGCCCCACTGTCGCCATGGCCGCGCTCCTCCGCACCGCCACACCCCGGTGACGTCATGCCCGTTAGCCCCGCCCCTCCTCTAGCCCCGCCTTCCGGGGGCGTGTCTCTCGGCCCGGCCTCGCCTCTCGCCCTCGTGGCGCTGGGCGGGGCGTGCAGCGTATGCGCAGTGCGCGGCCGCCGGGCTGCAGGCGAGGCGCGGGTCTGGCGGCAGAGCAGGAGTTGGCGCTGCAGGAGGGCCCTGGGGCGAGCGGAGCATGGAGCGGCGGCCACCGGCTGCGGCCGTGGGGCTGGGCAGCGCCGTTCGCCACCCGCCGCACTAAGGCGGTGACGAGCTCTGAGGAGAAACGAGGCGGCGAGCCGAGCCCCGTGGCTGTGTGTGAGCGCGACTGAGGCGGCAGCGGCGGCTCCTCTCGGCGGGTTCCTTGGGGCTGTGCTCCTCCTCCCCTCTCCCGGGCAGAGGCGGGCTGCCGGGGCTCCCCCCGCGGGCGGCATGAGCGCGGCGCCCTGAGGGACCGGCGGAGCGGGGCTCGCCCCGAGCAGCCTCCCTCGGGGGCCGCGGCCGGCGGATCGGGCTCGGCTGGGACTTGCCATGCCTGCCCTGGCTCCTCCCATGGCATGAGCCCGTGCTCTCCTCCCCTCTCCGCCTGCTTTTGGTCTTTCTCCGATTCTGGGCTGTCAGATGGGATAACGCGCACCCGGGCGTGCGGCGCTCGGCGAGGGAGCGGTGGAGGTAACTGGTGACGGCCGTCGGCTCGCCAGGAGTTGAAGATGAGCTGGCGGTGGCCTCGCCAGCACGGGAACGGCGGCTCCTCCGTCCTGTTGCTGCTACTGCTGTGGCACTGCCGGGTCCTGCCCGCCGGCGCCGATAACGCCAGCCAGGCGTACTACACCGCCCTCATCAACGTGACGGTGCTGAGCCCCGAGCGCGGTGGCCCCACGCTGCTGAGGATCGACCGCGGCCGCTACGGACAGGATTCCCCCAAGGTGGAGGTCAAGGGTCTGCTCGTGGCTCCCGTCCCCATCAACGGAGGTAACGCTCCCTTTGCAGCCTGCGGTCGCTTGCTGTCGGGTGTCTCCTTCGCGGGGTGGTTGGCCTTTGTCTGAGCTTTGAAGACTTTCCCGGGGAGCTCTGACAAAAGAGGAGGAAAAACTTGCCCAGGCGAAAACCAAATGATTTTTAAATCCATGATTTGACAGTGTTGCCTCTGCAAATCTTAGTGTGTCTTCCGGCATGGATGCCAGCCTGCTAGCGATGTTGAGCAGTGAAGGTGTTATTTCTCAGCTAATTAGAGAGTCTGTAGCGATAGTTAACAGTATTTGGTTACAGCGTTGCCATGAAGCTGAGAACAGCTGCACAGCTATCTCAGTGTGATAGGTGTGCATCTGGATGAATGCTGCAGCTGCTCGAAGCTGTATTTTCTCAGTGTATGTTTCTTAGAAATGCTGTTGCAGCATCGAGACTTGGAAGGACTAAAGCCATCAAGCTGTTACTGTCTCGCCAGTCCAAAATGTGATTGTCCTACTGAATACTGTGTAGTGTTTCCAAATAACTTTTAAGTGAAGCTGTTGTCCATCATTTTGGGTTGGTTTTGGCAAGCATTGTTTTTACAGAGAACGCTAATTTAAACAAGCGAGAGTATTGTCTTGATTTTTGGCCGAAGTGGAACCAATTGCTTCAGTCATAATGATGTGCTTTTAGTAGTATCTTATTTTTGCAAACGAAGACATATTTTGCAAATGCTTCTTGATGTTATCTAAACTGCCATCTTTAAGACAAGGATCACTTGATGGATCACAGTGGTCCCAATCTGTCTCCTGGACAGTAAACTCTGAATAATGCATTAAGTGAAATAATGTAGTCAGTTAAAACTAGACTCTAAGTGGTAAATATTAAGAGGGGTTTTTTTTAAGTAATTGATAATGCAGAGCTACTATATTATTAAAAGCTTTTGAGAATTTACCAGATCCTGAGATCAGGAAAATACTTTGATGCTGCTTCAGAGCAAAATGCATGTTTCTAGTATGTGAGAAGCAGAATGTGCATCAGCAGATGCTTGTCAGATTCATTGAAGCTCAGTTTCATTAGCTTTGGAAAGTGTTAACTAGAATATATTAATATAGCATATCTTTGGGTGGATGGGTGAGGAAGCAGAAATCGTTGAGCAAGTCTGTTGTAAATGATTTCCATTTGTATTTGAAGTCCTACTTTTCCTGTTCTCTCAGAGCCAGCTGTCATCAAATATGCTTAGACTTTCTTTTCTCTGCTTCCTGGTATTCCTCACTTCAACACACACACCCCAACCGCTGTATGAAACTAGGAGGTTGTCCTGAAGGTGTTAGTCATGTAAATATTGTTACTGCAAGCAGTATCTTTAGGGGGTTTCAAATTGGTGCCTTTTAATATATGCAAGGTATTAAACCCCATTATTTTTCTAATAGCTGCATTATTTGCCAAGAAAACTTTTCAACATTAATTACTTTTTAACCTGCTTCTATAACTTTTTCTGCTTCCTTCTAATATGGTCTTCACTAGAGTGTGATTAAAACATTGAGGGAGGCTGACAGCATTTTCACTGGAAGCTGAGAGAAGTGCTAAATAAAATTCTGAGCAGTCCATAGGAAGCATTTTTATACCTTACTGCTGAATACTATGATTAATACTTCAGTGAGAAAGCATACCAGGAATTGTGACACTGCAGACCTCTGTTTCTGCAGTTTTGACATGCTGCAGTCATTAGAACTTTGCCATCAGTTGTTGAGGAGGTTCAGTTTTGTCCTTCTGTTTGGCAACAGAAGACTGTTAAAGCAAACACTGCAGCAGCTGTTTTCCTTTAAAGTTCTGAGTCGTTCTATGTAGATTGCTATATAATATACATTTTTAGTTTTGCCAAGGCATGCTTTATGTGCCTAAAAATATTTCATGTAGTAGAAAAAATAGAATATTTTATGCTTTTAGTTAAGATATTCTTGATTACTTAAGGGTCTTACGTTTATAGTCTGCATTTTATACCTAAATTTTTATAAAATATGCTGTCTTGCTGAAAGTAATTGCTTTAATGTCTTATCAGTTTCTTAATACTGCTGGAGAACTTGTTTGCAAAATATTTTTTCTAATAGCTCTTAACAGTAATGTTAACTGTTAGAGCAGTGAATGCGCTACCCAATTCTTCTATGTTGAGAAGAAAAGGACTCTACAACTGCTAACAGCTATCTTTGAAAACTGTAATTTGTTTTACTGTTGTTTGAAAGCTAACAAAAAGCAGAGAATGAAATGGCTATGTAATGGCATTGGCATTGTGAGTGCATCTCAGTTTTATCTTCCAGAAACTGCTCTGAAGGAAAGATGTAGGGATCAGTGGAAGGGGATAATGATACCAGTAAGACTCCTTGAATATTTTTAGGTTGTAAAAATACACCCAGTAATATCTTGTAATTAAGTTATTGTTACTAGAATCTCAGACAGCCACTAGCACTAATTCTGACTACTCAGGAGCCGTGAGATAGTCCTAGAGACAGTGGATCAGCAATTACTAAAATGTGGTGCAGAGTAATTTGTCCCTGCTTTGCCTGTGGATATGACAGGCATTCTCCTGGTTTACAGCTTTAACTTATGCCTTGCTGTAGTTTGAAATGTAGTTATTTGACTTTGAAACTGCTTTGATGTCACATATTCATCCATTTGTGGGCTACCACTTGAAATTTCCACAAACGTGGGTGATCTGTTAGAGCCTTGATGGTGTAGACTTAGAGCTGAGATGTCCTTAGTGACTAAGATTTCTTACTCATTGCCCGCAGGGAAAGAAATGAATTTACTAATTCAAGATTTAGGGTCAGAGATCTGCTGCTGAACATACACCATTTGTAACAGCACAGTCTGTGATTTTAAATGTTGTGATCTGTGGTGTTTTTGGTTAACCTGTGTTCTTGAATATGCCCAATATTATATATACTATGTCTTGCAGTTGCCAGCCCCATATGGTTACCCATCCTTTACATCTCAGTGCAGAATGATGCATTGAATCACTTTAATTTCTTTAGCAAAATTTCTTTAATCGAATTCAACATTGTGGTGTTAATACACATATTAAAACTCTTTCCCTGTTCTTTTTATAGATCCTTGTATGAAATTGATACTGGCTTTCAAAAGCAGTGCTCCTCTGGAAGTGATATGGCTGTAATTTGTATGACGGCTTGTGAATGTGACTTGCAGGTGTAGCTTCAGTGAGCGGTCAGTCACATTTGGCTGCTGGGTGTAAATACTACACCTGTGTACATGTGTTTTTCCAAGTGCATTCAATGCAAGATAGTAGCAGAGCTTCTCTATTAATCTCTCTTCCATTCTCCCACTTCTAGATCATTTTACTTTCTCTAACTTGTTAATCTTTTGTCATGATTTATTTATCATTTATTAGAACAGTGTTTGAAACAGCTTCTGGATACGAGTATATGCAGATTTAAAAAAAAGTGCTCTTCTTATTCCGCATGAAAGGGTAATAGTGAAAAGCATCTTCACATCCTGATGCAGCTTTTCTGATAGTTCAGGTTTATATTATCTCTTTGATAAGGTTACTGAGCACTTCTCATTCAGTTCTGTGATCTTTGTGGAACCAGTCATTTCAGCCCAGCCTTCTTGCAGTAGCTGTCTATGTACTTGTGGCAGGGTCTGTACATGCACTGTGTAAGCTTTCAGTCGTGTGTCAGTTCAGTGACCTCTGCTTTTAAGCATCGTTGGTATTAGGTGCCTAACACTAGTTGTGGTGCTGACATTTAGGTGTCAGATGTATTTCTCTTGCTATGGAAAGCCAAGGTAGAAGCCATTGAAAACTGACTTTAGTGGTTCTTGGTAGAAGCTTCAGCACTCTGTGGCTTAGTTCCCTCAAAAATGTTCTCCATAGTGAACAGGACTCTTCTGTAACTGTTGATGCTGGGTTACTGCATGTCATCCTGGGTTTGGATACACAGTTGAGAGCTGGAAGCATCAATCTGGTGTTGTCCTGCGTTTAGCTGTAACAGTTGTTTTCTTTCAAAGTGCCCTCCTAGATGGTTGGACCTTGCTGGGAGGTAAGATTTTTGTGCACCTTGGCTGGCTTGGATAGCAAAAGCAGGCAAGTGATGAGGACTGGAGGTGGGACTTACAGGAAGCTCGGACTCGGTGAACAAATAGGTCAGAAATGAGGGGGTGAGGGGAGTGGAAAGGGACTGGAATATGGGGATGATGGTTGTATGAAATCTGCATTGGAGAAAGAACTTGTAGAAAGGAGAGATCTCTGCTGAAGGGGTAGTAGGGCTGTGACTGCACAAGGACACTGAGAATTTGAGGAGGAACATATGTTAGAAAAATGTGGAAGTAGGGAAGAAACAATATTGGCTCAGTGTTGGGAATGAAGGTGTATCTTGTGCATGGTACCGTAACTACAGCATTTGGTGGCATCTGACACTTCATAAACATGTTGTGTGAGCAAGTTTTAGCTGCAGAAGGTTTAAAATGCCAGTTTCCTGGTAACTGCAGAGCTTTAGGTAGCATTCAGACAGAATTTCATATTCCTTTCTGGCCCAGAATCCAAAACAGCAGGCTTTAGGAAAATGCAACAATCAAATACATCTTGGTGGAAGAAAAATCTTGTGCCATGCATCTATCCTTTACTACTGGTCTCAGTATCCAGCTTAATTAGCAGTCATTAATTGATAACAAAAGTGGAGGTTATATATTGGAGTTTATAGTCATAATTGTAGTATCCTTACTGAGCTAACACGATTAAATCTGGACTATTACAGGAGTCTTTTAAGCTTCAGTGATTTTCTTTTGTTTAACTTCTTCCCTGAAACAAGATTACCTCTTGTTCAAAGAGTTTCTTTTAGTGTTAAAGCCAGCTTTAGTCAAAGCAATTACCTGAAATAGTTCTTGATAATAGAATGTCGCTGTATATAACTCATGGACACAACTTTTAAGAAGTCGAAATTAAAGCTGGCTTGAATAAGTTCTATATTGATAAGACAAGTAGTAATGCATTGAAAGAAAAGGTATCTATT